AACCCTTTGATGGCGGTCACTTCCGATAAAAAGGATTCGTCGGGAAATCCATTTATTGTTTCTTGCTAGTGTGTTAGTGCGGTTGCTCTCTGAGGAGTATGAGAGTGATAGTTATAGTATCTCAGGACTAACTGCTGACTTGTCAGCAATGCAACCATCGGCAGAATCAGCCGCCAAGATACCTAAAGTGGAAGTTAGGAGTAGCCGAGGGAGTGGTATCACTGAGATACAGCAACAGCAAGTCCATATACACCCCAGGAGGGGAGGCAGTCGGGCCGGCTCGACTACACCTAAGGTGGGTATAAGCTCTCGTTATTTACTATCGATGTTGTTGTCGCTTCATTTGGGGTCTGCTGTTGTCAGAAGTCGACGGTCTCTAGTCCGTCCCATGGCGTTCCTAAGACGGGGTTGAGGGCTCCTGCTAAGGTTGGCAAGCAGATAAGGGTGCAGCATCCACCGCCTGCGGCAGCGCACATTCGGACGGGAACAGCGATGTTACATGGAGGCCATTTGGTAGGGTTAGTGAGCGGGGGAGGATTCGAACTAGGGTTCTTTGGGAGGCGAGCGTGGTGCTCTACTATGCGGCTATGAAGGAGTTATGTTAGGTAAAGCATAAACCACAGACGACCTTATCGCCGCCGCCTCCCAAGGCCGTTGTCCATCCAACACGGCACAAGAAGGAGGCATCGCCTGGCATGAGCGACGCTGATAGCAGCGATGTTGCAGTAGCTCCACCGACGATGCCAGTTCCGCTGCTCGCTGCAGGGAGAGAGCACCATTCTAAGGTAGTAGGCGTGGTGAAAGTCGAGGCTTTCGGTACAGCTTATGCATTCCACAGTGCAGGGGACGGCCACTGGCTGTATAGGCCTTACTACCGGTAGTTGCCGTTGAGGCATATCTAGCTTGGTTCGACTAGTGGTGGTAGTCGCATAGTTACTTGTGTGAACTCTCAGGCTCCTCAGCCGAAGTCGACGCCCAAGAGCAAACCCGACGATGGGAAGGTAGTGCTTCGGGGAAGGGCAATACTCGTCGATTCCGTCAGACTTGGACTTTTCGGTTGAGCGAGCATCATCTCCCAGCCGATGCTCAGCCTCCTCCTCGTTTAGCTACTGGAGTTGATACCAGCTCGAGTGGCGTCGAGCTCGCCAATACTGCCGGCTACGGCCAAGAGTGCGCCGCCCCCGGTAGCCGCGCACAAACCGAGTTCGCCGGTATGAATTAAATGTAATTTTATGGCGCGTGACGGAGAGTTTCTGCCTTGTAGGAGGTGCCGGTGAGGAGCGCCCAGTCGGCGATCAGCCGGTTACGTACAATAGAACACCTTAGAGCAAAGAGGGCGCAGTTACAGGCTACAAAAGAGGTAGTGTTGGGGGGAATTGAACTCGATACCTCGCGATAGGCAGCAAACAGTTGTACCGTTATGCTAGAATTTCTCGTAGGTTTCGACTCCCAAGGCGACTCATGCTGTTGCAGCATCATCTGCGGCTGAGCCTTCTACCCCACCGCCAGCAGCGATCGAGAAGACCGTAAGCGACCGTTTGTCAGTGTGTCACACCCTGGTGTCACCAAGGCCGTTGTTAGGTAACACCTAAAGCCGTTCCGAAGGCCGATCCCCCTCGGTTGGGTACTGATGGGGGAGAGCAGTCACTGACTGAGAGGATGCTCGAAGCGGTATTGTCGCAGCTCATAGATACTCACAGTCAATGGTAGGTGCAGCATCATCATACAGCTTCGCTCCGCTTAGATTTTGTCGCATTTTAGGTTAGTTGATCACTGTGGAGTGAGTAGAGAGTCCTTGCAAACTAGTACCGAGGTAGATGTTAGTGCAATGGATCTAGCCAAAATCGAGCAGATGGTCTTTGATGAGACTTCGAACTTCGAGGCTAAACTCAAGGCCTCGGCAAGGTGATGAGGATTCTAGACGTCCAATGGAGTTTCACCCGTGATATGAAAAACACTAGTGAAAAATATATTTCACGACTACTGTATAATGCGAATATCGCATTTTCAGGGAGAATTATGCCACTTAACATAAAACGGGTGAAACTTTAATATTCTGTGGGAAAATATAGTCGCTGGATTATAGCCGTCATTTTGTTATACCATCTCTATCGTAGTCTTTTTTCCGTTCGTGCTTGAAAGTAGAGAAATAGTTGTTGGGATTCCTTGTTTCCAAATGGTGGTCGGTCTAGCGCGGACATTTTCGCGCGCCACAAAATTGGTATTTTTATCAGGTATCTTGATGCTGTACGACCCGTGTTGGACAAGCTGCCTAAGCTCACTCCTGAGGAGGAAGAATCTTTCGGTTTGCATCAGAAGAGTAAACCTACTACAGGGACAGTAGTAGGCAAGGCTTGACAACATTCTGTTAATGATAGTTTCCTTACTACTATTGCTTGTTCGGGGACACCTTGGTTGTGTTGTGTGTAAGATTAGAGACAACACTCTGTGTGGGTTGCTGCTAGTTTTTGTCGCTGCGTAAGATACTCTCTGTGCTAGTATGATGTTCCTCCAGGGCAGTGTGTGGAGAAGTTGGTGATGAAGGGATTGTCGTGATGACCTTATTATTCTATCTAGAACGTTCTCGAGCTCGCTCTATCGCATAGAAGAAGTCAATGGACCTGTGTCGTAGTGAGGAGTGGTATTAGCATCGACAGAACAATAGTAAGATGTGCTTGCTTGCTGTTGGTTCCCATCGAATTTGGAGGGATTTCCTTGATGATGATGAGGAGGTAACCCTATATGGGTACGACTTGTCTGCTGATAGTACCTTTGTTGGAAGAGAGTTAGCTCGATTAGTGGTGACGATGGTTTCAGGTTATGGTTGTGGTCATTCAGCGTACCAGTGTTTTCGAGATGGTGAAGATTGTGTCGTTTTTATGTTTTTTGCTATCAGTTATATTTTTTCTCAATCGCCATAATGGTAACGCCCCAAGAATGTGCCCAACAGAAACTGACTGAACTTGTCCTTTCGGGAAGTGAACGTGTCGCTGAGGCAAAAATCGCTGGTGAGATCGCCGAAAAAGTTGATGAGTAAGTCGGGGTATCTTGCAATGTTACATCTTGTCAATTTCTTTCAGGGATGCGCAACGCTGTAGTAAGGAGGGAGACCATCCGCAGTCGGATGAGCGCCATAGACTCATATCGGTGGCCAATCGTTTACCATGTAAGACTAGTTGTTATGTGCAGGGATTGAACCTGGGGTCTTGCGACTGGTATCCTTGGTGCTTGACCAGTTGAGCTGTTAAGAGTTGCTTTTCTGTGTAGGTACCATTCATAAGGACGATGCCACTGGGAAATGGGTCGCCAGCAAGAGCTCGGGAGGGCTGGTATCAGCATTAAGTGGGGTGAGCGGTATTGATATGCATTGGATAGGCTGGCCGGGGTGTGAGGTGCCCGATGAAGACAAGGAGGAAGTCGCTGAATTGGTAGGTCCCAGCCTATGTTGGTGATAATATGCAATTCTGACGAAAATTTTCGAAAATTTTCATTGGTTTCCCTACAATTCTACTCGAATTCCTATGTGAACTTTTATAGTTAATGAGAAAACTTCCGAGCTCAGGTGAGGAGAGCGAACATATGTTCCTACTCCAACACTGCTTAGATTTAGTTTTATATTATTGTTTAGGTGAGAGATCAAGGATGCTATCCAGTGTTCCTAACTGATGCCGAGATCGACTTGTACTATAACGGCTTCTGCAACGACACACTGTGGCCTCTGTTCCATTACATTACTCCGTCAACACAGCGTAAGTGGGGTGAGGGTTATTCACGTTTTTGATTGTCCATTTTACTGTACTTAGTGTTGGAATATATTTTCGGGTTCCTCAGCTGAGCTCAAGAGTTTCCCAACTATAGTGTGAGAGTTTCCATATGCATTCGCATAGAGTTGGTGTTTAGAAACTAACGAATATTTCCCGAAATTTCCTCCCGAAAATTTTCGTATTGTCATAAAGACATGTAGTTGACCATGTGCATATTTTTTCGTCACTGGCTGCATTGTATGATGTTGAAAGGAGTTGTTGTTCAGGTGTCATTGAGGGTAGAACGTTAGAGTGGGAAACCTACCAGAAAGCTAATGCCAAGTTCGTGGATGCTATTATGAAGGTAGGATACGCTGCGATAATCTGCACGCATGCCCATGAAGATACTTATTGTAGGTTCTGCATGATGACGATTTGGTTTGGGTTCATGATTATCACCTTATGTTGGTAATAGCGACTAGTCTTTTATATTCCTCACCTTTGTTTGTAGGTGCCCAAGCTGTTGCGAGAGAGAGTTCCCAATGTGAATATTGGCTGGTTTCTTCATACACCTTTCCCGTCAGCTGAGATCTATAAAATGCTACCGTAATGTTCACTATAAACGGCTCTTGCTGGTGGGATGAAGTTATTTTCTTTCAGGCAAAGAGAAGAGCTTTTACAAGGTCTGTTGTCGGCCAACTTACTAGCCTTCCATGTAAGTTCATAAGGAGTTGTATCTGCATCGGTTGGAAGTCTAAGTACTCGTGTGAGTCGTATTAGTAGTTTTTTCATAATCCGCGAAGTTGGTTTCGAAATATCATTGGAATGTGGTATCGGTAGTTTTCAGGTGCACGACTATGTTCGGCACTTCTTGTCCAGCTGTGTACAGTTAACCACTTTGGAGATCACTCCTCAAGGAGTTGACGCGACACCTCTCAATGGCATTTTCGTAGGTCCCCGGTTCGAATCCTGGTGAAGGTATTTTTCTATTTTGATAAGGTCAAATGTGCTACAATACCGATTGGCATCGACCCCGCTCCATTCAAGTCATTGTCTGAGTCTGTGACCGTAGCAGCAAGAGTGGCCAGTCTGAAGGAGCAGTGGGGTGACAGGAAAGTCATTCTCGGTAACGCACAATTTACCTCGATGGGAGTCGGCTTTATCGCTATTGTAGATCAGAAAGCAATAAGAATTTCGTAGAAATTAATATTCCTATGAAACGCCATGGCTCATAGCGATGGACTCAGGAGTATAAGCCGCGTTGTGGTCATAGCCTATGACTACCACCTGTAGATTGTATTTCGTCTCTCAGCTCTGCTGCCACCTGCGTCATCAGCACGTAGTAGTAGTATCTTCTTATCACCTCTACAGTTGCCTGTGGTCGGTTCCTGAGTTTTTTTTTGGTAAGGTATCGATCGTCTTGATTATATAAAGGGTATCCCGCACAAACTGAAGGCTTTCGATATGTTCTTGGATGAGCATCCTGAATGGGCATCTCAGTGTGTCTTGGTGAGTTCATACCACGCCTTACAATCATCGTAATGCTGTCCTAGGTACAACTGGCTATTCCTACTAGGACTGAAGTGCCTGAATACCAACGGTTGAGGCGTCAGGTTAGTTGGGCGTGGGTTTTGAGAGTTAACTTTGACGAGCATCAGGTCCATGAGATGGTTGGATCGATTTGTGGCAAGCATGGCAACCTTTACACTAGCCCTCCAGTGGTTTATCTTGATGGATGCGTTGACCATCAGGAATTGGTAAGTGGTTCAGCGCATTGTCTTCCTATCGAGTGACCCTGGTTCAATTCTTGGTTGTGATATTTTTAGACTGCCTTATACAGAGTGGCTGATGTTGCGCTCATCTCATCTATCCGCGATGGTATGAATCTAGTTGCCTACGAATTCGTAGCATCTCAACAACACAAGTAAGTCTGTGCAACGATGAGGGTGTCGTTCGTCACAGTAGGAGTTGTCGAAGGGGTGGTATTGATATTATTGTTTAGGAACGGCGTTCTAGTGATTAGTGAATTCGCAGGAGCCGCGCAGTATCTTGGAGCTGGCAGCGTAAGCTTTCGACTGTATTCAATTTGAACTTGTGTTTTTTCCAGATTCGGATCAACCCATGGAACCTTGAGGAGGTGTCCTGGGCGATATACGAGGCATTGACTATGGGTGAGGAGCGTCGTAAGGAGATGCATGACTACTGTTTCAAATACAGTAAGTCCTATCATAATCCTGGGTTGCTGTTGCTAGTTTCGTTTATCAGTCAACAGCCACAGTGCGCAGCGTTGGGCTGAGACCTTCATCGCTACTCTCAAAGATGCTTGCGCACAACGAAAAGATATTTCTGCCTCGGTAGAATATCTAATGATGCTCGAGTGATGGTCATATTGCTATGCATCTCAGGTAACTCCTCTGCTACCATTCAATAAGTTGCGCACTTCCATTGAGTGTAGCAAGAAGCGCCTCCTGGTAGGTTGGAAGGGTGGAAGCCGCTGTTGAGAGAGAAACTTTCAGGTGTTTGACTTGATGGACTGTCTTGTCCCATCTAAGACGAGGCGTGGTGTACCGGCGAAACTATATCAGTCTCTGATGTCAGTTCCCAAGGATCTCATGGCAAGTCTTCAACAACTGGCTAATGACGAGAGTAAGGTCTGGGGTTCGATCCCTGCACCTGTCATTTTTAAATGCCTTATTAGATACTATAATGGTCGTGACAACGAGTCACTCTAAACAAGTCTTGGAGAGGCTTCTCGGACAGCTGCCGATCTACCTTCTACCCGAAAATGGTTGCATCTATCGGAAGTGAGTTGCCTGTTTCTCTCCGTCATCGATTCAAACCTGTTGTCAGTCCTGGGGGTGTTTGGAAGCACACTGAGGCTCTCAAGTGTGGTTGTATTATGGAAGATCACTCATTGGCTGAGGTACGTCTGCGTACTTATACCACTCCTTTCGCAGATTGCAAAGTGGTGCTTCAGATCGACGAAGGTACGGAGTCCACAGCAGGCATCAGCTCTCCTCGTTCCCGTGCTGCTTCGTCTAGTGCTGACAGTAAGTCTCCGAGGTCGCAGGTTCGATTCCATGTAAGGGTGTTTTTTTCAGCTTCTGACCATAATTGGATGAACGGCGCTGAAGAAGTGCTAAAATACTTCCAGGAGAGAACTCCCGGTAGCTACATCGACCGGACCGAGTGAGCAGACGCCTTGACTGACGCGCCTCTCTTAGTTTTTCCAACGTAGGTTCAGTTTGAAGTGGTTTTTCGATAATACCCAAACCGACTTTGGCGCTCCCCAAACCCGGGACCTCATGATACAGCTTTGGGCGGGGCCTCTCGCCAACGGTGAGGCCGAGATTGTCGTGGGCAATAGGTAAGGAAAGGAATAGTTTAGGGAAATGTGCAAATGGTCAACTATAGTTGGCGATTGTTCTGTGTGGCGATTTGCAGTAGCTTGACTGGCGTATCTGTGTTTCAGATATATCGAAATCCGACCTAAAGATTCTTCGATTGCATGCAATCTAGAGAGCATACTCCATTATGAGATACTCGAGACGGATCCAGCCTCTGATTCAAAGGTAACAGCGATTTTGCTAATTTGTAGAAGTCCGAAAGTTATAGCGCTCGCCCACAGGTCGATACTTGCGTCGTTATCGGTGCATATCCTTTCCGTGATGAAGATGTCTACCAAGCAGTTGAGGATACACTTGTCCAGCAGTGGCTACCGAAATACACTAGGTGAGTTTTCGCGCGCCACGAAATTATAGGGAGTGCGAGGGCCGCTGAGGATGATGCCGGATGCAGACATGAGCACGACTGTCCCAGGAGTGTATCGTCGGCGTCACGGCAATCGAACTATGAGTGCATCATGGATGTGATGGGTTGGGAGGCTTTGAGAGGCCACTCTCAACAGCCTAGCGAGTTGAAGTGGGTTACTGTGGAAATGTCTTCTGCGGGGCTTGAACCTGGGTCGTTCTCATGGAGGATATTGTATTGTTTTCAGGCCTATGCATGATGGTGGAAAACATTCTTTGAAATGTGCGAGTAAGTTCATCCTACCTCTGTATGGAATATGATGTTATCTTTCAGGCGGTATCACTGCGGATGGTCATGAAGTTGAATACTCAGAAGTGGTCAAGTCACCTACTATAACGTAAATTGTGTGCCCTGTCCCCTGCTGATCCTCACAGTGTTGTCTTTTGCAGAGACTCCACTCGACAGACGCCCCGTGGTGATCTGGAAGCTCCTACAGCTGTAAGTCCTGTCACTTGCATGATGAAGGGTTCTATGATATCGTCAGGTTACGAGCTCATCGACTGTATCGACGTCGTGCTTGGATGAGTCATTAGCAACAACAGAGTCGATGAAGGAGAATCTACATCACTTACACGACTCCTATTACTCAATAGCTGTTGGTCAGTGTAAGGTCTCCAAGGCAAAGTAAGCGGCACATCATTGTCTGCTTGTTCTTCTGATAGCCTCTCCCCTTATCGGTCATCTCTTGTCAGGTATTCCATCCCGAATACCTATTATGTGGCTAGTCTTGTCCATGATATTGCGACGCGTTTACCGCAGTCGCCAACAGCGGGTGTCACCAGCAGTGATTCTGTCCCTGCTGAGCACCATACTATTCACCCTACTCTTACGACCGCTTAGGCTCATGCTACTGTCCTTATATCGGAGCCCTGTGCTGATCGACACTGTGATGTATGAATATTGTTGTTGTTGGCTTGCTATGTTTGCTAGTGTTCTTCTCCATCTCCTTGTCATTTCTCTATCTAATCTCGATCAACATCAAGCTAGAAAAATTTCAGCAGCTCATGATGAGTCTTGAGTTTTGTGATACCTTGTGGCTGAGGGGCCATTTGGACTTAGTTATTATCACGCTCATACCACCATGAGCGATGCAAGCTCCTCTCACAAGGAGGAGGTGGTCGATGGTCGGGAACCAAACTGTCGTAAGGATCATCATCCTTTTTGCAATTCATCCAAAGTAACGTTGTTGGTTCCATGAGTAGGTACGTGTAGCACATGGCCGTATTCGAAGGATGAGCTAGAAGGATGCATTCTGAAATTCCGGAAACACTTTTTGTCATCAACAGTAAGCCCACCAAAGTCTGCTCATTCTTCAAGGTTTACTATATTTGTCAGTCCCGTTCGAGAAGTGTCTCACCGAAACGGCAACGGCACGAATTGAATAGCCGGTGAGTTACTGAAGACGATGTTTCACCGTGGAGTTTTACATATAATTTATTCTCTGATTTCTGTGGCCCCCGCGAAAGTGAAATTTTGATACTTTTGCAGCTGATTGTGAAGTGTTTATTTTTTTGCGTCCGAAGGATGGTCATTTTCGGACGGAAAAGTCTCTGCTTGGCTTCGCACTTTGTTTTCCTTGGTATGATAGATGTTCGTAGGCACTCTATCGAAGCGCAGGAAAGCCGCATTAGCGGCCCATCAGATTCTCAGACTATGGGCATGCGGGCAAGCGGCAAGTTTATGCATGTTAAGCAACCACCAGAAGAGGGTAACTGCCGAAGTCTCAGCTCGTTCATGAATTGAGCTGCTCGCAGATCGTTCAGCGTGGTTGACAAACTCGAAGCTCAGCCCGGAGGATTACATCAAGTGTTACGGCTTTGTGATGGATGCGGAGGGATTGGACTCGATGAAGGTGGGGTTGATTCGATGAACCTTCTACCTCATCATCATATTGGCCTCAGAGGCACCACTGTCCTGATTCGCCTTCTAACTCGACTGATGCGACTGTTGCTGGTGAGGAACGTTTGGTTGAAGTTAACGAAAGCTCACTTGTGTATTATCCCTTTACTTAAAGAAGCTTGCCTTTGAGTGACAGTCTTGCCGACGGTTACATTATTTTGATTGTCGTTGGACAATTATTGTTGTTGCAGCCATTGTTTTGTGTTCACTAGTACACAGTATAGATGGGCAGAATTACGTTACGGATCGTTACGACTCACTTTTACGGTTACGATTCAAGCTCCGTACCGTGAAATTACGGCGCCGTAACGGGTCTTAGGGAGATGCAGAGGACAAAACGAAGATTGATAACTCAAGTTGCCTAAATCTATTTCATGTGAATGCGCATGCGTAGACGAGGCCAGCCTGGCAGTTCCGGGCCAGCCTGGGAGTAAGACGGACGGAATTTGCTAAGGCGAGTGGTAAATTCGAAACCAAATGTAACTCTCTCAGCGGTTCGGTTGGATCCGAGCCACAAGAAATGAGTTTAACAATTATTTGAGCTATCATGAAATGCAGTGCAACGAATGTTCCCGCCTCAATTCCAAAAAAGCAGTTCAGCACCAACCGTAAAGTCGTAAGGTCTTTCCGTAGCCGTAAACCGCTTACGTTACGCACACCGTAACGTAAACCGTAAAAAACGTTACGCTGCCCATCCATAGTACACAGACAGTGATACGAGCATGTTCCGCGCACACGATCTCAAGCAATGGATACTCAATTTAATTGAAAGACGACGTCTACGTGTTGGTTCCATGTTGAACGTCGACAATACGTGGAGAAGTAACGTATTAATCGCCACATGATTTTGAGCATCCCCACTCCTCGTAATAATCCCACAACTATTCGATGGATGACGTACGGTAGAAAAACTCAACCTTGCGTGCTGAAGCCAGAAATGGTCGATTCCTCGACAGGTTGCAATCACTCAGTAGAGTTATCGCGACGATGGTGAATGCATGTGAAAATCATTCATAGCATAATGGCGTATTCAAGAGCCGCTGCCGCCGGCGTATCGTGAGCTCTGTGAGGAGGATCCCACTCCCATCGCCACTGAGGCCACTGGTATTTCGATGGTCGAACCTCTCGCCATTCACCATGATAAGTAACTAGGAAGAAGTTTCATCACTCCGTGAGGGTAGTTGATACTCTTCTCGGGTTGTTTGATTTTCCCCTTGAAAGTCCAAGGGTACTTGGGCTCCATAACGAACCAGCCGAAATCGTATCTAACTTCCACACTGTCGAAAGGAGGTCCTTAGATTCATTGGTCGAACACGAAGGTCTCACTCATCGGGTAAACCTCGGTGAGAAGTTGGCGTGTGCCCAGCCCTCTTCTCGTACTCGTCCCATCGGAAGGGTTTCAGGGCAGGCCCGTACCTGATGTATGCGTGCACTTAGCGAGTCCGACTAGTGAACGTGTACATAGTCGGGCCAGCTTGAACAACACTACGCATGTGCTGATATCCCCAGGTGTAGTTGGTGGCCTTGGTATCATAACAACCGTTGGCTATCTAACCACAGCTATAAGCCTATAATCGGCTGAACCGAATTGCCTCACTGGGTTGTCATCAGGTAAGTCTCCTCGAGCACAGAGAGCTAGCGTGGGGTCATGCTTTGAGAGAGGATCGATCTCATACCGGTTACTCCGGATGAGCTCCGCTAAGTCCATCACCTGACTATCACCACTGCTGTCACCACTCCGAGTGGGTTGAAGACCTCTGATGTCACCGAGGCCAAGTGGCTGTCTCGTCGAAAGATTTCCCCTCTAGCTGCGAGGTCGTACGTGAACGATGGGTTGTGCGTTTTATTATATCTACTTCATCGACTGTACCATGTTCTCATGACGAACGACCTACGCTTCGTCGTAACCAGCGGCGCGACGGACTTCAGGGAAATAAGGGGAATTATACCTGGCTTGGAGTTTCTCTACGGCACTCAAGAAGCCGCATGGCTTTTCTTACGATGCCCAATAGCCCCAGCGTAGAGCCCTGGTGAGATCCTCCCCGACTGTGAGACCTATGGGACTCATCTCACAAGGTTGTCAGGGTTAGACTATGCACACCTGGGATCGACTCGATAACCCAAAGAAGATCGTCGTTCAGCGGTTGGCCAGGTGTGAACTTATTAAAGTCAATAACCATGTACCTTCATCGCATTCTTGGTGTCCACACTAGATGATAATAGTGAGCCTACTGGTTATTGTATGTACCACTATTATGAGGTTTGTATAGCTCGAACCACGATGCTCCGTCGGTTGCCAAGTGATTGGCTATCCTTACTCCTGTATAAAGATCATCACTAGGAGTTCAACGACGCTGTTACTTTGCCATGCTAGAAGGGCCTCAGGATTGATTTTCATGTGGGTGTCTTTGTCGAGGACCCACAGCGTTGTCTGTATCATGGCCAAACCAGAACTCATCAGATAGAAATCATCCAGTGACATTTGGGAGCCCGCATAGGAAGAGAAACTCATGACCTGGTGAGACATTTCGCGCGCCACGATATTGATTCTGTGGTGCACCTCGGCCTTGTTCTGTTCGAAATGCATATGGTAGTGCTTGTAAATTCTGTTCGTAGCGGCGTAACTACCGAGAAAGATTCTTGTATTTTTCGAATTAGTTTCCACGGAAGCAAACAGTCTAACCCCATAGCGGTTACATGAACAAGAATTTGAGGAAATCATATACTGTAGTCGGCACGCTTCGGATTTTATCTGCCGCTCACAGAAGCTCGTCACCAGGGGGAATGAATATAGAAAAACCATACAAACGACTGATTTCAAAATGAGAAATGTGACGTTATGAAGCGATAACCATCTTGGGATCTCGCACAGAGTAATTGGGAGGTCTTCCCGCGAGCTGTGCTACGACGGTCTTACGTGAACCAAGCGGAGTGGCCGAGGCGGAGATCAGTAAAATCTGGTGCGACCTTCACCAGAGCGGTGCACATTGAGTGACGGAATAGGCCTCTGAAGGCAATGCATGTCATTAACCGGCTACTAACTTGTGTATCGATATTATCAATTCACAAAATAGTAGCCACAAGGAAATCATCGATACGATTGATTCCGCGATAATAGGGCAGATTTTGATCATTCGATAACGCCGTTGACTGAATGCCAATGTGGGGAGATATGCACATGGTCAACTACATGTGTTGGTGACATTAGAATCTTCTGGAAATTATTGTTGGTTTCGGGGAACTTTCACCCGAATTCGTGCATAAACTCGTATAATTAGTGAGGAAACTCCTAGGAGAGGGAACGTATACTCCAATACTAATAAACGCCGATTCAAAAGGAACAGGAGGCTCACAAGGGATCGGGAGTGTTGTGAGTATTGGTATCATTAGCCTCGACCAGGACGTAACTGATCGATTGCTATACCGACAGAGGCACAGCCGTTGTGTGCATACACAATGTCAAGGAGATCCCCTATAGCGTTGAGGACCGTAGCGATCTGCCAAGGGTCGGCATTGTAGGTCTCATTGGTAATGCTATTCTCATCGAAATATCTGAATATGCATTCTGGATTTGAGAATCTTCTGCGTGCGCGCGTCAAAGATTCGGGGTAGTCGCCGAACACGATACAATCCACAATTTTTTCGGACGGAAATAACAACACTGGGAACGCCATGGTTATGCTCCTGAGGGCAAATTTCGGGCATAAATGATACTTAACCGTGCGAGATTTCGACGAGCGATTTGATGGCGTACTGTGCTACAGTACTTGACGAATTCTCAAAACTGTGGAAGTTCGAAATTGAGTGAAGAATATCTCACCGTTGTATTCCGGCTACTTCTCCTTTATACTGTTGCAGAACGAACTTGGCGGTTTTCCAATAATCATCGTAGACTGCAGTTACCAGAGTCAAGAATAAAAAAGTCGTCGCAACAAGGCGCACTCACCGTTATCATCTGTGGCCACTTGCCGTTCGAACCATACGTATTGGCTTCTCAAGAAGTCCACCACAACCTATGGAGATTCAGACTATTGCCTCCATCGGAATGCTACTGATCGATGCTTCGGTCGGTTACGTACCATATCTCTCGAAAACAGTCAGGAAGTGTCCTCACAGCAATTTAATGGCGCCAAGATCGCCATCAGAAAGGGGAGGAGGGTACACGCAAAAATGACGGGAGTTGCCTCAGGTTTTTATGGTATATGATCGTGATTCGACTACGATTGGAAACGACGTCTCGATAATTCTTGAAATCGTGCACGCTGAAAATTAGTTTAATGAAACGGCAATTCAGGCAATATCCCAGCAGCTGCTGCACTGGCAATGGTAGTGGAATGATGTAAAAAACCATGCCCTGTGACTCACGTCGGGAAAGGGTTCATCAACTTTTCCGAGAAAATAATCTCGAAGATTGCGGAAGTTGTTGACGATATGTTCACCAGTGATGTAGCCCTCTAGGAATCTGAGACCACACGGGTCGACCGCTACGAGCACTGTATTGAGATGTACCCGGCAGCAAACGCCTGTTCATCCGCAGTATGTGAGGCGTTGGTATCTAATGGTATCAAACGATAGTGGAAGGGCAGTGTTGGAAGATTATACGTTCCTCAGCTGAGTTCGGGTAGAAGTGTATGGAAATCAACATTTTTTCCGAATTTTTCCCGAAACTTTCACCGCCTTGCCGTGGTGTACTAGAGGGTTACTTGTCCTTCAAAGTCTGCTCTAGTGTAGACTTTCCTCCTCATAATATGAAATCCGTATTGTCAACAACACACGTAATGACCATGTGCATGTTTTCCCACATTGTTTCTAAGGGACTCGCATTCTAGACTTTTCAATTTGATTCGTTGAGTTTAACTGAGTACTTATTCGTCACTATGGAGCATGACGTCGAGGTAAGCATCTAAGACTATGTACAGGAATCTCCGGAGAAGCATGCAGTACTATTGTTGAATGAAAACTAACTTACAGATTTCCAAAACCCCCCCATCCTCGAGAGAAGAGTGAGTCTTCAAAGTACCTACATAATGAGACTACAAGGAAAAAAGAAGAGTCATAGTCATGACCAGTAGGTATACATGATTTTCATATTCACATTTCGCATGACCCATTGTGTCACAGGGACATGTTGCAACAACAAAGCAGAGTAGAGGTTGTCAGATAGTTCTTTGTATGAGAAGTTTATTCAGTCGCATTAAGGCATAGTATGAAAGCGGTTCTTGTTAGCCTACTGTTGTATTATATGTTCGCTTTCCTTACCTACTGTTGTATTATATGTTCGCTTTCCTTACCTACTGTTGTATTATATGTTCGCTTTCCTTACCTACTGTTGTATTATATGTTCGCTTTCCTTACCTACTGTTGTATTATATGTTCGCTTTCCTTACCTACTGTTGTATTATATGTTCGCTTTCCTTACCTACTGTTGTATTATATGTTCGCTTTCCTTACCTACTGTTGTATTATATGTTCGCTTTCCTTACCTACTGCTGTATTATATGTTCGCTTTCCTTAGCCTCCCTCGCTCACTATACAAGTTTACACACGACTAAGGGTACAGAAACCAACGAGAATTTCTCTAAATTTCCTTAGAATTCTTGTAGTTCACCACGTACATATCATCCCATACTGTCGTTGCCTACCCTTTAGCCGCAGCTGAGTCGTCCTCAACGCCCCTCTTGTAATGCACGCCGTTTGCAATATCACTGTTGT